TTCCATTAAAAACATTTTCGGAAAAGCGCGTCTAGATTGGCAGGATGCTTTTCCGCAAAAGCGTCCGTGGCCAATCTAGATGCAGTTTTCCGCAAAAACGCCCCGATCGCCTTTTTCACGATTGGGGCTTTTTTGCGGAAAACAGTACTATGCTGTCTACACTGGCCCTTTTGCGCAAAAGTCTTTCGGAAAAAGACTTTTGCCCAAACGGGAGCAGCATAGTTTTTCCGGAAAAGCACTGATGATTTTACATGAGATCGTCAGTACTTTTCCGGAAATTCAAGCGGCCAGTGTAGACAGCTGGCAAGTTTTTCTGGATAAGCAGCTGCTTTTCCGGAAAAACATGCCAGTCTAGACACAGCCATAGTGTCCAAGTTATTAGAGCACAAACATACAAACATTCTCCTTTGCATATTATCTTAATTGAAATTATTCCTGAATTAGCTTAACAGCAACTCTTCAGATTTTTGTTTATTTCACGTACTAATTATAACTGTTCTTTGAGAGGGGAGAAAACCATAAGCAGAAAACATTTCAATAAATTGTCAGTTTATCTTAAATTAAGTAGTGACACAGCTGGAAGTACTGTGATTCTGTTTATAAGAAATACAGGAATGTGAACTTTTATAGTTCCATCTCTTTAGCTTTGTAACATAAATTAGTTTTACCACCAAGAAGTATATAAAGTACAGCAAGTCTTCATAAGCAAACACAGATATATCATTTATGGTAAAATTGCTGAAACAGATCTTTTTACTGTCCTGATCATTAACCCGAGAGCTATCTTATAACAAACTCATTCATTGCCAGATATTTCATAATCCTCTTGTTGAAGATTAATCATTTAATCACAAACCTGGTCAAGATAAAAACTTGTAAACTTTTTAATCAGTAAAAACATGCAAATTTACTTTTTGCTGACACATGCACTCATTCAAGATGAATTAGTTGATCACCAGACACTAGTTTAGGTCCTCAATTTGTAGGAAAACTGATATTAGGTTTTGGGGGAGGATTGGTTGGTTGGTCGGTCGTTTTTGGACCAGAGTTCTATGTACTAATAGGAAGGAGACAGTACAGAGGAGGTTTCATGGCATAAGTCTAAGAATTTGTTGCCAAAAAAGATGGGGTGCCAATTCCAACATGATGTGTAATATAATGTAAATCAGGCCCTGATCCTCAGCACACTTGCACATGGCCTTAAATATTCCCCCTTGCCCTCAGATTTCAAAACCAGAGGGGCCCAGATCTACAAAGGTAGAGGGGCCCCTAACCTCTATTGAAGTATCTTTGTGGTGGGTGTCTAACTTGTAGATGCCTTAGAAATTCCAGCCCTGCTCCCTACGGCACTGGGGAGCCTGCCTTGACCAGAAGAACTCAAACAGCAAAGTCCTGGCTACAGTATCAGAGCCCAGATACAGAGATCATTAGAGCTGAGTTCAACTTGGTCTTCCAAACTTTTTTTTTCCATTTCAAAAAGAGCTTTTTCCAAGACCCTGTTCCTTTGTCAAAGCCAGACATGTTGAGCTGGCCTTAGGGAAAAGGGTGCCCTGGGTGAACTCCCGGCTGGGCATCCCTTGTAAGCTTGCCAGCCCTCCCAGTTTCACTGGCGGTCTCCCGGAATAGGGCTCTGTCTCCCAAAGGCTACTGAAGCCAAACCAGATTGTAGGCCACTAAAAGTCTGGCAGCACAGCAGGACTAAGACAGCTTCCCTGCCTGCCATGGCCCCACACCACTCTTGGAAGCTGCCAGCATATCCCTGCAGTCCCAGGGGAGAGCCTGGTGCAATGCCCAAGCACCAACTACATAGCTCCCATTGGCCAGGATCTGCAGCCAATGGGAGCTGCAGGGGCAGTGCCTGTAGCCCTGTTATTCCTCCAGAGGTTGAAGGGACAGGCCAGATGCTTCCAGGAACAGCTCAGGCCAGAGCATGCAAGGAGCCTGCCTTAGCCCTGCTGCACCACTGACTTGGAGCTGCACAAAGTAAGTGCCACTCAGCTGGATCCTCCAACCCCTCTCCTGCACCCAACCCCCTGCCCCAGCTGTGAGTCCCCTTCCAGAGCTTTGATCCCCCCACCACCAATCCTCTACCCCAGTCCTAAGCTCTCTTCAGCACCCAAGCTATCTCCAAGAGCTTGCACCCCAACCCCTGCTCCAGGTTCAGCCTTGCACCCCTCCCACAGTCTGAACCCCTCAACCCCAGCCTGGAGCCCACACCCCCTCTGTTTCCTTCAGCCTGGTAAAAGTGAATGAGAGTGCGGGAGAGCAAGCGACAGAAGGAGGAGGGATGGAGTGAGCAAGGAGGCGCCTCAGGGAAGGGGCAACCCTGGCTCCTGTGGGTAAAGCACCCCCCCATTTCCCCTGGCACCATGGGGACTGCACTCCTCTCCTGTGCCGCCTTTGCGACTAACCAGGGATATTCTGTCCATATGATGATTTGGGGTGGCCCCACGATAGTCACCTCAATTGTCCTATAGACAGGTCCCAGGATGACCTGGGAGATTACCGGGGGGCCTGGCACAGGGTAGCAGCAGGAGTCAGGCTCCCCCGTACTCACCATGGTTGAAGGAGCCCCTCCGCCTTCCTCAGCCTGCTGCACTCAGTATCAATGAGGTGGGGTGAAGGTGGGGCACTGGGGAAAAGATTCCCCCTGGATTCTCCGCCATGCTGCCCCCTGCCTAGTACCCTGCCCCCTTATGCCCAAGGGCCACTAACCCAGAGACCTGAACAACAGAGCCCTACCACACACACTGCCCCCAACGCCCAGCACCCCTCAACAACTGAGCACCCCAGTCCTGAGGGAATTCAGCAACAAAAATGTTAACATTCCACATCTGTTATTTGTCAATAAATAAAGGGAGAGGCTCCAGCTTAGTCCGGGCTGCATGGAGGTGGGAGACCATTCTGCAGCTTTTCCCTCCTCTCCTCTCCTCTCCTCTCCTCTCCTCTCCTCTCCTCTCCTCGCTGGGGGCTTGGCAGTGAGAGCTCTGGGTGCCTGGCAAAAGGCCATAGGGAAGCATTTTACAGGAGGGCTGGGGTGTCAGCCAGGACTCCATTGGACCAACAACAAAGAAACAGCTGATCCCAGTGGCAGAGTCCAGCATCTCCGCCTGCCATGCTCTGGGCCATTGCCTTTAAATCTCTCTAAAAGAGCATTTCCCACTCACGATGAAAAGCACACAAGCATTATGACATTCATGGGCCCTAAGCACTTTTGCCTTCGTGGGCCCCTTCCCCCATAAAAAAATTATTTAAAACTATTTTTTATATAACTTTAAATACTTCAACATTTTATTTTTTTTCTGTTTTAGGAAAAATGTAATAGATTTTCTGTGAGAAAAAAATTAAAACATTTTCTTCGACCCTAAAAGTTCATTTTTTCCTTCTGATTTAAAAAAAAATTAAAACATTTTTGTGGGCCCCTAAAAGTATCGTGGGCCCTAGGCCCTGTACCTACTGTGCCTAATGGATAAGTCGGCCCTGCAAGCAACCACATAATATGAAATAAAGCAACCAAACCTCACGGCTTCCATCCGTCCAAGGGAGGTTTAGGTTGGACACGAGAAAAAACTTCCTAGCATGGGGGGGGGGGGGGGGGGGGGGAAATCGACTAGTCAACAGACTAGCTGATAAGCAAATGCTCTTTAACATCCCTAATTAATTCCTGCAATTTTTAGATTTTCTGTATTTACCAGTGATACCACTTGAACTAAAATACTCAAAGATCAATCAGAACAAGGCTTGCACACAATTTCTTTTCCTACGCTGCTTCTCCCCGCCTCCAATGCCCGGCTCGGATTCCCCCAGTTCGGTTTCTCCTTGGCACCCCGAAACGCCTGGCCCGCTCTACACCGCAAGCTCTGCGATGCTACTTCCCAGCCTGGCCTGGCTCCCACCCACCCGCTGCAGAGTCTGGGCGGTGGCTGAGGTCGGGGAGATGCCCATCAGCCCAACACTACGGAGGGGCGTTGAAGAGTCCTCACTGCAGTGGGCAGCCACGTAGGGTTTCAACAAAGCCACCGGACACACGTGACATGACATCACAATCGACATTCCATCCGATTTCGAACGTACCGGCCAGTTCTATTGTCTCCATTGGGTTCCGGACAGAAAGCTCAACTACTGGCATCCGTAAGCCCTGCCCCCGCCGGCGGGGCCCCCTGGCTACCACACCCGGCCCTGAGCCCGCCCGGGGAGCTGATGAAGGTCCGAAGCAGGGGGCGGGGCGGGGCAAGGAGACGAGGGGGCATGAGGGGCAGGACTCGCGGCGCTGAGGGCCTGTCGCGCTAACC